GTTTTGGTCAAAAGTTGATTTCTTTATTGTATAACTCATTACAACTTTGGTCGTTATAATAAGATTAAAAGATTAGTCTTTTTATAAGACTCTTTACACAATGAAAGAAATAAAAAATTACAACTCTATCAAACAAACGTAGGGAGATCGTTTATCGGTCTTCTGCTTGTGCGGGATCTTTGCCTGTGTCGGGGATTTTGATATCCGTGGACCGCCTTAGATCTGGATCCGGTTGATGAAAAATTGGGTAGAGCTTCGTCTTCACCGAGGGAGTATTTGATTTGAAGCACTGAGATCGACCAAGCGAAATCAGTACTCTTCTCGAGATTAAGACCAAGCCTAATCTCAAGGAACGGTGGGATCGGGCTTCAGATCCTTCGAATAGCTCCTTCTTTATGCTGGAGTTCGCCGGGATCTCACTAACCCTCACTAAAATTCATGACTCTTGGCTCTGGAGTTCGACAGCACCTCATCGTCTTGATAATAAATCGTCCCTGTGAAATGAGCCCCTACGTCTGTATTTATAGGCTTCGGTTAAGGGGTTTTCGGATGAGAATGGATGATTTGACCTTATCTTCAGTCAATAACAGCCTAACCATGTTTGTGGATGATATCAAGTCAGCTAGGACGGTTACTGTAGCAACAAAGCGACCCGCGCTACTATAGCACCAAAGTGACCAGTGGTTACTGTAGCAGCAAAGTGACCCCCGCGGTTACTGTAGCACCAAGAGCGACCCGCGGTTACTGTAGCACCAAGAGTGACCCACAGTTACTATAATGCGGTATTATAGCGGTCTTAACTCACTCATCTGACCTCGGAATGAGGTGATTCAAGATGCATTAGAAAGCTGACGAAGAGACCTTTAACTTTTGTCTTTTGAATTTTTCTATATTCAAATTGTATCATGGTAAAAATGTCAATCCCTTGTGCGAGCCACTTTGAGGTGTTTGACACTTTCTGACTTCTCCGGACTTGTATTGCGGATTTCGTCATTCCGTTGACTTGTACACTCCAATGACTCACTTTGTATATTCGTTAGCTTCCACGGGACCGGATAATCCTTTCCTGACTTGAATGATGATGCTTATCGTTTGCATTTTGCCTCGAGCTGCGTACGAGAACCTATAGGTAATTTTTGACGCCTACAAATATAGATTAGAAAATAAATTCAATTTTAGAGTCAAATTAGATTTGGAAACAAAATCAATTTTGATTCATGATTTGTTTCATTTATTATAAGGAGTATTTTTATGATAGAATTTGATTTTTTTTTTTTTTTGTAATTCTAGTCTTACTAGGAGTCTTTTACATAATTTGGCCTTATTTCTAATACTCAATTCTTCAGTCCCTACTTACTATTTCTAAGGGGCTGTTTGGTTGTTGTTGGTAAAGTTGTGTATTTATAACACAACTTTTCTTTGTTTGTTTTTTATTCTATTAGAATCATAAATTGCTTGTTTGGTTTGCAAAATATAACTTTGGGGCTGTTTGGTTGTATGTTTTTACCATGTAAAAGGATGGAAAGTATAAAAAAGTGGGTCCCAATGTCAGTTTTTATCACTTTCAATTGTTTGTTTGTAGTTGTGAAAATAGCGTAAAGTGATTTCATATGCTGATGTGGCTTGTAAAGTGATTTCATAAAAAAAGATATGATTTTAGGAGAAAGCTGACATTAAAGTCAGGAAAAAATAATAAAAAATAATTCCAACCAATATGATCATTTGAGTATGGACCAGTTTTTACACTTTCCAAACAAATAATTAAAGTTACATTTTACAAACCAAACAAGCAATTTATGATTCCAATGGAATCAAAAACAAACAAAGAAAAGTATAAAAGTAAAATTGATGAGGTGGATAACAACTTTCCAAGTTGTGTCATAAATACACAACTTTACCAACAACAACCTGGATAACAACTTTCCAAGTTGTGTCATAAATACACAACTTTACCAACAACAACCAAACAGCCCCTTTAATTGCTTGTTTGGAAAGTGTAAAAAATGGTTATTGTGTGGTCCCTACTCAAATGATTCCATTGGCATAGCCCCCTCACTTCTGACACATATGTCGGCTTTCCTTCAAAATCAGACCATTTTGAAGGGATTTGTAAATTCATGCCACATCAGCATAGTAAATCACTTTACACTATTTTCACAACTACAAACAAATAATTAAAAAGAAGGAAAGCTGACATTGAGACCCACTTTTTTATATTTTTCATCCTTTCACGTAGTAAAAACTTACAACCAAACAGCCCCTAACACTCGTGCCAACCAAATGAGCTAATGGTTTACATGTATCCTCAGAAGACTAATACCGACACGGAACATGGTTTTGGTTAGTCATGCAAAACTGTATTTGAGGTGGGCTTAGACTTGCAAAGCAGTTCTGTGCCTTAAAAGGAGCGCGTGTGTTTTGGATAGAAGCGGAGAATTCTCTCTCCAGCCCAAAGACCCCAGCAGTGAGAAAAAAAACAATTGGGTCACTCTCTCTTGCTTCTCAATCTACAAAGTTGAAGATGCGGTCACTGAGGTGACGCGTTAAGAGGAAAGCGGTCCCCCTGCGAATTTTCTCCTTTTTTTAAATACCCCCCCAGATCGCCCCATCCGAAGAGCGCTCCCGCCAACAGCTCGACGGAAAGAGAGCTGCCTACAATGAAAGAAATAAAAAATTACAACTCTATCAAACAAACGCAGGGAGATCGTTTATCGGTCTTCTGCTTGTGCGGGATCTTTGCCTGTGTCGGGGATTTTAATATCCGTGGACCGCCTTAGATCTGGATCTGGTTGATGAAAAATTAGGTAGAGCTTCGCCTTCACCGAGGGAGTATTTGATTTGAAGCACTGAGATCGACCAAGCGAAATCAGTACTCTTCTCGAGATTAAGACCAAGCCTAATCTTAAGGAACGGTGGGATCGGGCTTCAGATCCTTCGAATAGCTCCTTCTTTATACTGAAGTTCGTTGGGATCTCGCTAACCCTCACTGAAATTCGTGACTCTTGGCTCTGGAGTTCGACAGCACCTCCTCGTCTTGATAATAAATCGCCCCTGTGAAATGAGCCCCTAGGCCTGTATTTATAGACTTTGGTTGAGGGGTTTTCGGATGAGAATGGATGATTTGACCTTATCTTCAGTCAATAACAGCCTAACCATGTTTGTGGATGATATCAAGTCAGCTAGGACGGTTACTGTAGCAACAAAGCGACCGCGACACTGTAGCACCAAAGTGACCCGTGGTTACTGTAGCAGCAAAGTGACCCCCGCGGTTACTGTAGCACCAAGAGCGACTCGCGGTTACTGTAGCACCAAGAGTGACCCACGGTTACTATAACGCGGTATTATAGCGGCCTTAACTCACTCATCCGACCTCGGAATGAGGTGATTCAAGATGCATTAGAAAGCTGACGAAGAGACCTTTAACTTTTGTCTTTTGAATTTTTCCAGATTCAAATTGTATCATGGTCAAAATGTCAATCTCTTGTGCGGACCACTTTGAGGTGTTTGACACTTTCTGACTTCTCCGGACTTGTATTGCGCATTTCGTCATTCCGTTGACTGACACTTTCTGACTTCTCCGGACTTGTATTGCGCATTTCGTCATTCCGTTGACTTGTACACTCCAATGACTCACTTTGTATATTCGTTAGCTTTTTCGTCATTCCGTTGACTTGTACACTCCAATGACTCACTTTGTATATTCGTTAGCTTCCACGGGACCGATAATCCTTTTCTGACTTGAATGATGACGCTTATCGTTTGCATTTCGCCTCGAGCTGCGTACGGAAACCTATAGGCAATTTTTAACACCTACAAATATAGATTAGAAAATAAATTCAATTTTAGAGTCAAATTAGATTAGGAAAAAAAATCAATTTTGATTCATGATTTGTTTCATTTATTATAAGGAGCCTTTTTATGATAGAATTTGACACTTTTTTTTGTAATTCTAGTCTTACTAGGAGTCTTTTACATGATTTGGCCTTATTTCTAATACTCAATTCTTCAGTCCCTACTTACTATTTCTAAGGGGCTATTTGGTTGTTGTTGGTAAAATGTGTATTTATGACACAACTTGGAAAGTTGTTGTCCACCTCATCAATTTCACTAAGCAACTTTTCTTTGTTTGTTTTTTATTCCATTGGAATCATAAATTGCTTGTTTGGTTTGCAAAATGTAACTTTAATTGCTTGTTTGGAAAGTGTAAAAAGTGGTTATTGTGTGGTCCCTACTCAAATGATTCCTTTAATTGCTTGTTTGGAAAGTGTAAAAAGTGGTTATTGTGTGGTCCCTACTCAAATGATTCCATTGGCATAGCCCCTCACTTCTGACACATATGTCGGCTTTCCTTCAAAATCAGACCATTTTGAAGGGATTTGTGAATTCATGCCACATCAGCATAGTAAATCACTTTGTACTATTTTCATAACTACAAACAAACAATTAAAAAGAAGGAAAGCTGATATTAAGACCCACTTTTTTTTACATTTTCCATCCTTTCACGTAGTAAAAACTTACAACCAAACAGCCCCTAACACTCGTGCCAACCAAATGAGCTAATGGTTTACATTTATCCTCAGAACTTGCAAAGCAGTTATGTGCCTTAAAAGGAGCGCGTGTGTTTTGGATAGAAGCGGAGAATTCTCTCTCCAGCCCAAAGACCCCAGCAGTGAGGAAAAAAAAAACAAGGGCTTTTTGTCTTTAGGTCCAATAGTTTACCTCCCTTTATTTTTAAACCCAAGTAGTATTAGTTGTATCTCTAAGCCCAAATTTCTTTTTTTATTTATCTTTAAACCCAATTTCAAAATATAATACTCTTATATGTGGGTCCCCCTATATAAGAAAATTGGGTTTAAAGACAAATACAAAAAGAAATTTGGGCTTAGAGATACAACTAATACTACTTGGGTTTAAAAATAAAGAGAGGTAAACTATTGGACCTAAAGACAAAAAGCCCAAAAAAAACAATTGGGTCACTCTCTCTTGCTTCTCAATCTACGAAGTTGAAGATGCGCTCACTGAGGTGACGCGTTGAGAGGAAAGCGGTCCCCCTGCGAATTTTCTCGTTTTTTTTAAATACCCCCCAGATCGCTCCATCCGAAGATCGCTCTCCCCCACTCCCCCACGCCCGCCAACAGCTTGATGGAAAGAGAGCTGCCTACATACATACCACTCGATCTTATGTGAATTTGGGTCATCGCAGTTTGCTCTGTTTTTTTTCTAGGAATATATACTTTGCTCTGTTTCTCATCGAAAATCTGAAAGGAGCGTACGTACTTTGTCTGCCCTTACTGCGCGTCTGTTTAGTTTGATCTCTAGGTCAGTTCTGAGAACAGAGAGGTCCAATCTTTTCCCTTATTAGTTTACACGCGAATTTATCCAAGTCTTTTCTCGCGTGGGCTTTTGCTTTGTTTAATTTGCCCTTGGGTCCGTAGAATAAAATTTTCTTTTTTTCTCTCTCTCTCTCTCTCCTATCCTATCCTCTACTCTCATCTCCTCCTCTGCTTTGTTTAATCTTGATCTAGTTTGTGATGAGTCCAACGTCGAAAGACGAAGAGAGGCCAGGTTTTGACGACGAGGACGAGGGTCAAAGGAGCAGGAAGATGGTGGTGATTGCTGAAGAGACCCAGGGCCGTGGTGGATTAAGCCCGGATGCTGACGATCGAGATCCCTCCTATTTCCCCTCCGTGAGCGACGACGTTGCCCTGCTGATTCTGGCTAGGGTCCCGCGGTCTGAGTACCGGAACCTCGGCCTCCTGAACCGAGGATACCGGTCCCTCGTCAGGAGCGGGGAGCTCTACTCCGTCAGGAAATCCGTAGGGATCAGAGAGCCTACAGTCCTCATGCTCGCAAGCGGTGAGCGCCACTGGTGGGCCTACGATCCGAGCTCAGGGTCACGGCGCAACCTCCCGATCCTCCCCTGCGACCCTTGCTTCTCGCTGTTCGACAAGGAGTCCGTCTGTGCGGGGACCCACCTCCTCGTTTCCGGCAAGGAGGTCGACGGCTCAGTGATATGGAGGTACGACCTGTCCTCTGACCGGTGGTTCAAAGGCCCCAACATGGTAAGCCCTCGGTGCTTGTTCGCCTCCGCCGACTGCGCCCACATTGCTTGCGTCGCCGGCGGGGTGTCGGCTCGGGGCTCAAGGTTCTGAACACCGCCGAAATATACGACCCCAGCAGGAAGGCTTGGGAGGAAATCCCCAGGATGAAGCGCCGCAGAAAGCTTTGTTCGGGTTGTTACATGGACAACAAGTTCTATGTCATAGGCGGGCAGGACGAGAGGGGCGAGAGCCTCAACTGCGGAGAGTTTTACGACCTGGAGAAGAAATCCTGGGAGTTGATCCCCAACATGATCCAGGGTGCGCGGAGTTGGTCCTCTCCTTCCCCTCCCCTCCTCGCGGTGGCGAACAACGAGTTGTATTCGCTCGAGGCTTCGACCAACAAGCTTAGAGTGTATATTAAGAAGAGCAATTCTTGGAGGGGCTTGGGGATGGCTCCGGTGAGAGCTGATCACAGTAGGGGGTGGGGGGTGGCCTTCAAGTCGTTAGGAGATGAGCTGCTTATTATTGGCAGCAGAGGAGATTCTTATGCTTGCTTCGGGATGACTATTTGTACTTGTAGGCCTCATCCTGGTTCGGGTTCGCTTGATTGGAAGGTTCTTGCGAGCGATGGTGGTCAGTGGAGCTCGTTTATTTACAACTGCTCCGTGATGCTCTCGTGATTTGAATTGAGGAGGATACTTTTTCTCACCCCCTCTGCTCTCAACCGTGTTCGTGTTTTAGTGCAGGAATTGGATGGTGGTTCCCGTTGTTTGTAACGCCTTTGGCTCTTGATGGTGAGTCAACCTATATATGTTGTAATCGCTTGTTTTCTGATTTACTACTTATTTTCCTGTAAGCATAGGGGTTTTCGTTACGTTTATATCAACATCTCTGGCTCATGTATGATTTTCCAAAGGAGAGCGTGTATGAAATATGAATCCTTGTTGCAATTTAGTCTTATGTACATAAGCCGTGTATAAATATATATAATTTCAACCGAGAATTTACTGAGAAATTAAACTAGACTTTTCCTGCTCTTGGACTTTTCCTGCTCTTGGTCTCTGATAGTAGTCGTGATTTAAAGTAGGAAATTTTTCCTCTTTTCATTTCTTGTGTTTGAATTTGGGGCTTTTTCGCCTTCTGATAGCAATCTCTGTTGTATACTTTGTTCACAGGGTCTCTGTCAGGTTTATATCGATAACTTTGGATTGGTGAGTCCGTCTCCCTTTGTTCACTGCTCACGTATGAGTTTACAAAGGCGAGTGTGTGTTAATTCCTTTAACCTTGTTGCAAACTAGATATGTTAGCAAAAATGAAGTATGAATATAATTTTTGACTGAAAATATGTAGAGTAATTAAATCAGTCTTTCCTGTTCTTCGTATCTATCTGAAAAAGAATAGCTTCCTAGTTATAATTTCGGAATAGTCTCTCCTTAACTTTCATGAGGATCTCATGTTGTTGCTGAATTTTGGGATCGGAAAATATTGATGTTAGATTTGATAAGGTTTAGAGTCGAATTTCTCACCTTTTTTCGCGGAATTGAGTCCTATCTAGCTTGCATTACGTTATGATGAGTACACTTTCCTACATACATAGCTTCATATGTGGAAATACAGGTTATAAGATTGCCTAGCTATGATAACATGCTTGTTTGTGTCATAAAACACCTTAAAACACTAGAGTAAACGTGTGAATTTAAATCAAAATTATTCTAAAACTGTTTAAATAGTATATCAGATGTATTCAATGTGGATTTGGAGTGGTATTTCTGATATCCAAAGCATACAGTAAAGAAATTATGGTATAATTTTTCTTTCCTTATAGCTCTGGAATTGTGCAGTTTTTTTTTCCCTTTTACAAGATATACATATTACCCATAATTATTAGTTGCTTCCGAAGTATAAACTTATACCCCTCAGCTCTCCTTCGGAGTTTTGATACAATAGCAAGGACCTTGACATGGTATCAAAGCACCATTGATTACAAGTTTAAAGCATATTATTAAAAAGAATAGATATCTCAGGATGCAGGGGCATGTTAGAGTATGAAGTTATATCCTTCACCATAATTTTGAAATTTTGATGTAACACCGAGGATTTCTTTTACACTTATCAAAAGTGCAAGTTAATCTATAACCATTACGTTCCATATTCCAAACTGATGTTAATTGATAAATTTGAGGATAGACCTTTGTTTGATAAGCTAGTTTGGAAATGGACATGTTCCCAATCACCGTCTGTTCAGAAAGCATCACATCCTTTTGCATATAAGGTAAACTTTACCCTGATTCCAACAAATAAGTTTTGGATATGATTATGGTCTTCCCTTTACGGTAAGAAGTTGTACGTCTTTAATTTGCATTTCCATTCTTTTCCTTGGTTTGGGGGATGAAATTTTTGATGTATAATTACTGTGAGGAGACATATTGCATGACCTTGAGGAAATTCAATTTAGTGTGTCACTGAAGTTTGCCCATGATACTTACATGGATAAAATCTCAAGTTGCTTGAGCTTATGTGTTTGTTACTGTCTGCTTCATTGTTTCTCAGAACGTTTAGCCTATACAATTTTATAATCTCTAGAATCAGCTTGCATCTCATTTGAAGCTTGAAAAAAGAAAAGTGTTAGTGTTACTCAAATACTGATCGAAACCAGTAACTTTTGTTTGTTTCTCTGTTGGTTAGACTTGGTCGTGCTTGTACAATGGGAGTTTTTTTTTTTTTTTTTTTTTTTTTGATTAGGAACTAAATTGATCAACAATGCCCCTAGGACTTGCAGTTGGTTGGTGATTTGATTAGGAATTAGATTGATCATCAATGCCCCCTAGGACTTGCAGTTGGTTGGTTACAAGGAAAGCCACAAGTGAACTCTTCCAATTCTTGTTGACTAATGAAAGTTAGTTGGTGATGAGGAAAGCCACATGTTAGCTCCTATTTGAACCCTTATTGGCTAAGAATTCACTTAGGAATTAAATTGATCATCATTGCCCCTAGGAGTTGCAGTTGGTTGGTTATAAGGAAAGCCACAAGCTAACTCTTTCATTTCTTATTGACTAATGAAAGTTAGTTGGTGATGAGGAAAGCCACAAGTTAGCTCCTAGTTGAACTCTTATTGGCTAAGAATTCACGTAGAGAGAGTTTGTTTAATTAAGGGTCCAACCAACATATGGAGTATTCTACCCTTATGAAGCTCAGTTTAATTTGTTCTCTATATAAAACACAAGATCACAGAACAGAGAGCATCCATCAATCTGCAGTTTACACCAACGAGAAAAGCACAGAGAATAGTGTTCTCTTGTGAAGCCTATTAGTTATATTCGTCTCTCTTTTGTTCCTTCGTTTTAAAGAGATTGAATTAGGCTTTTGGAGTGTGTTAGGGATTGAATAATTTATTGTATTCCTTACAATTTAATAAAGCTATTGTCCTCTTTTGCCCATGGACATAAACTATAAGCCAAACTACGTATATTCATGCGTTATTAGTCTTCTTTGTATTTTTTAGGCTTTCGTGTGATTGATATTAGTTTATTTTAGGGACTCGTCATAACAAAAAGGTTAATTGTGGATAGACCTACCATACTATTGTCCAGCTTTGGGTAGACCCTCATAGTTCTATTGTTGTACAGATCGAGCCCCCGAGTGAATTTTTTTTACACTTTTACTCTCAGTAGGTCNGGAGATTTCAAGTCAGGGGTCTACACGCAGCAACAATAGAACTTTATGGGACCAGCGCAAGAGGGCTTGAGAGTGTACATTTATTGGCCGGTGGCATATAATCCAACAGTTGTTACAACAATTTTGTCAATTTTGAATGCGGACAACTGCCAGTTTACCTTTTCTGTTGAGAAATGATTTGAGGAGCACTTGGATTGCGACATTATTGCATCGCCCACTGATGCCAGCTTGTAATGCACTATATCCTCATTACTACAGTCGAACCTTATCTTGTAATTGATGAGGGAAAAAGACACAGTGAGTTCTTTTTTACTTCAACACCGACTAACAACCCCATTGGTTAAAGAGAAATGATAGAGACATACCCTCGGGTACACCTCCGGCCACACACCCTAGCTACAGTGCTGGGGGCCTCACAGTGTAGGAGGCCCCAGTTGAGATTTTTTAAGATATAAAAAGGGTGTGACCGGAGGTGTGTCGGAGGGTGTGCTCGCTTGGTTAAAATTAAATGTTACCGTTGCAGCGTCAATGCACTGACACTTGAATACTTTATAGTGCATTATTCAGTTGTCGCATCTGTCGGTTGCTTTCGTTTGAATCAACTTTTTTTTTCGATTCGTAGTTTTTATGATGCTTAAATTTGAGAAAACGTTTGTAGACTTTAGGCGTTCTCTACAAACCTCCTTGAACTTCTATAAAATCTCGCTCAAGTCTTTCGAACCTGACTCACTTTAACCCCGAAGAGTGCCGATGTTTAACAAACTTGTCGTGTGCTCCGTACATGAGATCCTTGACTACAAAGGATAGATAGAAGATTTAAAAAAAAAAAGAACATTTTAGACCTTTATCGTTAATGTTATGTACTTGTTTACGAGAATTTTCAATAGTTCATATGAATCTAGCTAGTACATAGTTTGAAGGTTGGAGATAATTTTTTTCTAATTTTCAAAGTTAAAAAAGATTTCAACTCAAAAAAAAAAGTCCCTCAAACTTCATGATGTTTTGTGAAATTTACTCAAACTATGATAATTGTTTACTTTATGGTAAAATCCAAGTAGGGGAAATAACATAAGGACTTATAGAGCATACGATATGTACTAGGGAATCCGTTCTGATCTCCAACCTGGATATCAAAACACAAGTTCACAAAATAGAAACAACATGAGCAAGAAGAAAAAACATCAAGACTTGCGTGGTTCGATTGACCAAGTTTGACATATACCCACGGAGCACGAAAACAAAAAATTCACGATGTATGAGAGAACAATACAAGAGGACATGCATAATTGTCATCTCATACTCTCCAAAGCCCTTATTCTCATCTCAAACCCTCTAACATGAGAGGTTTATATAGTGCTAAACCGTAGCACTATCCAAAGGTTCACCAGGATTGAAGCCCACTCGATACTAAGATAGATACAACACATATCCCAACAATATGAATAAAGAATCATCCATCATCTTTATAAGGAAATGCATAACAACTCTCAAGCCATGTGCTTAATCTCCGCGAGTCATAAACTCAAACTTGCTTACGAAATATTCACATAAGCAAAATGTTGATTGGACTATATGAGTTGTACTATTCTCATGCTACTAGAAACAAAAAAGCAAGATCCATCAAAACTCATAAATTTTCATTGTAATTTACAAGTAAAAGCCTCACTTTTTTGTGTGAGTAGTATACTCTCGTACAGATATCACTACTCTTCGAGAAAACAGGTCAAATAAAATATCTCAAGGGCAGAAATTAATAACGCTCAACAACTAAACAGTGACACTACATATATCGGTAGCTTGGACAAGTCAAGCAAGAGCAATAATGAGATACATACGTTGGTAGCATGGACAAGTCAAGCAAGAGCAATAATGAGATACATACGTTGGTAGCTTGGACGTCAAGCTCAATCAAAAGCTATAATGCGAACAAAATGGACCGTCCGATGGCTTCTTTTTCCTCTTTCACACGCAATAGGTCTCTATGTCAAGATCAGCCAGGGGGCGAATCTGTTCGCAATTAGGTGAGGGTTAGGGTTAGAGAAAGCCCACCCCTGAAACAATAGAACTACGAGAGATCTACTCGCAATTAGGTGATAGCACAGAGGCTATTTCTGCAATTAACTCTTATGCCTGAATTACTATATGAATTCATATCAATTCAATCAGAAGTTCACAAACATGCATAGGGCATGAAACTCTTCTTGTTGATTCTGATAAGAGTGTAATCGAATATCCCAACAAAGTGAATACATGTCAGTAGTTTATATCCCAAGTGCAAAGGTAGAAATATAGAATAATTCTGACTAGAAATATGTCCTCACAACACAAAGTACAACTTTTAACTCCGAAACTAAGAATCCCAAAACTAAGTCCAAAAAACTCTTACGACGGAGTGATTGAAAATACAAGCTCTTTCACTTAAGAAGAAGAACCGCTGCGCAATGCCTGGTCTTTCTTTGGTTTCCTGGTAGCCAACTGAGTCTCAGGCTGCATATATCACAAATAAAAACAGTTTAAGAATATGAGCAAGCCACGGTTCAAATATTGAAGGACTGACTGCACATAGAACTACCATAGTATCACTGTATTGCACTTACTACACTTGTAGTATCATTGTTGAAGATAGAAACCTGGGTTAAATTTGTTTGACTATATTACCCTCGGCGAAATTTGGTCAAGTATCCCCCACAAGCGAAATTAGTCAGTCAAGCTGACAAAAAGTTAAATCAGGATGTCTCTGCAACAATATGAAACTACCGGTGGTGGTCTGCTCAAAACAGCAACACTAGAGGGGCTCCATGAGCAATTAACCCAATATTAAATTACTAAAAACTAACAATTGATTTCAAACCCAACAATGCACAAAGGGGTTTTGAAGAAGAGACATTGGGGAAAAAGATATCGAAATAATCTTAAGAACATTCACACTTCAAGTATAAATGAAAGCATTAGCAGAAACCATTTTTCAAGTGAAATGAAATAAGGGGTGGCATGAGAAGACTACGTGGAGTGTGGACTAGTGATTGAATAACGACTTGATTGGAAGCATTTTAAAAATATAAAAATATATGGTAGCGGTTAACTACATGGAGATAACCCTAAACAAAACTTAAGGGAATAATAGGATTCATGTGCCCAATGAATGGAAGCTTTATGGATGTTCTTGTTATACGAGAAAGTAACCTGCATTGCTATTATAATGTAACAATTGATTTAGACGTAAGTGTATATGAGCATCTTTCTTTAAAAAACTTTGAGCACCTTTCTTCAAAAATTTTGAATAGAACAAAACCATCTCAACACAATTTTGCTGGCATAGAACACAAGTGACGTATCGAAAGATTACAAACAACTACCTCCTTCTTAACCGGTTCTTCCTTCTCCGACAAAATCAGTTCAATGTGACACGGTGATGACATGTAAGCTGCCATAATAAACTTAACATTAGCATATTAAAGAGACGGATAGTACCAAGGGTGGATTAAATGTAAAACGGCATGGGACGTACGATTAATCCGTCCATGGGCTCGGTAAGTTCTACGCCTCTGTTTCTGGGCTTGATTCACCTGAATGTGGGAGACAAAGAGAGCATCCACATCTAGACCTTTCACCTAAAAGCATGAATGACAATGAGAAACAAAGACATCTAAAACAATGTTGCCAGATATCTAAAACAATTTTTACCCCTATCTACCAATTAAAACATCTATATTACTCTTTCCGGAAAAGGGGAGGCATTCTACTTATTAATGTCGTTAACGAAAATTTTTCAGGGAGGTTAAATATAATTCAAAAAGGTTAAGAGGCCTTCTTATGATTGTTAAAATTTCAAGGGATTTCATGCAAAAAAATCCAAGCTTCAGTGGATTTTTGAACCTGAAAACAATTCATGGGCATGTGTAAAATTCCAAGGGATTTATGCAAAACAATCCAAGCTTCAGTGGATTTTTGAACCTGAAAACAATTCATTGGCATGTGTAATGAGAAAAAGAAAAGAGAAGACATACATCTGCATTGCTCTCAGCATTCTTAAGCAAGTCAAGAATGAATCGAGCAGATTTCACTGGCCAGCGCCCTTGGCCATTTGAGTGGCGGTTCTTAGCTTGAGCTGTACGACCAACACCACCACAATACCTTCGAAAGGGGATGGCTTGTTTGTGAGCAATAACATCTTCAAGGTACCTTTTAGCCTTGGTTAAAGCCAACTTCCTGATTGCGAAAGCAGTTTCCCGGGTATTCTGCTCACAGGACAGCAACTGAAATGAGGACATAAAGAACAAGAAAAATACGAAGCCAACTAGGTAGCACGGATACGGGTGCGGACACGAACACGGTTATGAACACGGGACACAGCAAATTTGTAAAATGTAGGATACAGCGACACGGCTATATTTGTATATATAATTTATATTAGATTACTGAATTAAAATACCTATAACATTTGTGTGTTTCTTTCTATTATCTATAGCAATTAAGAATCAAGTTAAATAAAACTAAGAATAAGGTTTAACAATAAAATTTTTGTTATGATTGCATGGGATAATACGAAAGGTGTTCTTCAAACTAAGTAACGGGTTTCAATTTTCGATTCAAAAACAAATTGGTTTTGAACCCAATATTACCAAAGAAACTAGTTCAAGATATAACTAATAGGGAAATCGGGTTTTGCATTGAACCACAAGTGTCCATGGCATGTCCTCGGAGAGCCCGTGTCGAACACGTGTCGGACATGGACACGGCATCCAAAATGCATGTCTGAGTAACCTAGGAAGCCAACAATGGCTTTTAAAAAATAAACCCATAATTTACATGTAGAGTCTGATTTTGTTAATCTATAAATTGTTTAGTGGAATCAAAATGTCTCAAAATGAGTAGATTCACAGGAAGTAATAAGTTCATTGTGTCTTACGTTCCAAACTATATGTAGGATGTAGCAACTAGCAATTCAAAATATAAGAACTATGTAAAGACGGCATTTGCACAAATTTAAAATGTAAAATGGAATCTTCAGGTGTTACCGTAGTTTTTAACTAATATACAAGGCCCCCAAAGCATGCAGCTAACTCTACACCATTAACAGATGATTCTCCTCCTTAACTTAATGATTGAACTATAGCAACAATAACAAAACAACAGACAAAATGTTCAGATATCTCGTGCTATGCCAATTATATGCATAACCAATTATTGAACTTAAAAGCAATCTCTCACTACACTGAATTATTAGTATAGATGAAGAAATCAAAATAAAAAATGGAATTCAAAGAGTTTATATTTTATTATAGAGTGATGGAAAGTCATTTATTAGAACAAAAACTGAAAGTGAAATGATTCCAAAATGATAGCTAATATGGTAGTCAGTGAGCTGAGATATAAATTGGCATGCATCTACACATGAGAAAAACAAAGGAGATTATGTCCTTGATGGCCGAGATTATTCTGATTAGGGGCTCAGAAAGGAGGAAGGGGGTCGGGTCCCGCTCGTGCTATATGCACAAATGCGATAATCGATTAAGATATTTTGATTCAGAGTGCACCAGGATTTATATGCCTCCTTTCTTAAGTAATCATACATGATTTTTTGCAATTCTTAACATACACAAATACATGTAATAAAAAAGAAAAGTTTAATTCATAAGGTTCTCAATGTTTCACTATTTACTGAACCTTTTGTCAATGGCAAAGGCCTCTAAAGGTTCACCCAATAACAATGAGAGTGATGTTCCTGAAGGATACGAGATGCTTGTTCACACAAAAAACAAACGCCTGCTTTTTTTCTTCAGGTTATATGACAATATGGCATACAAAATATACAAATGTAGAGATCCTTGGACAGATGCCTATGTTTTATGAAACAATAGTAGAGGCATGGTATTACTTTTGATAATAGCAAGTTAGTCACCAGATACTAAAATACTAAAATAACAATAAACCAAAGGTCAAGTATGCTAAGATCTTCTTACTTTGCTGTCAAGGGTGTTCAGATTATTTTAAGAAGAAAAAAATACAGGATTGCATGGTGCCCCAGACTTAAGATTATTCAGAGTATGATGCCCAGGACTTAAGATTATTCAGCGAAGGAGGAAGGGAGGGACGGAGATTTTTCAGTTTTTCTTGTGTTTTTATGTACAAAGGATACAATACATTAAAGAAGAATTCGGTACCGTAGTGCCATATGGACGATGAATTTTATTTATATGCCTCTTTCCTTGAATTAAACAAACCTATATGCTATTAAAATTATTAGCAACATTTACAAAAGTTGAAGAAAAGACATAATACTCAAAAAGAAAAATATGATTCTTGATGTTCTAAATGTTTCATCGTTTACTGAACCATTTGTCACTGGCAATAGCCTACAGAGCTTCACCCAATAACAATGATAATGATATTCCTGAAGGTTACGAGATGCTTGTTCACAGTAAAAACAAGTGCCTGCTTTTTTCTTCAGGTTATGACGTATAGAACCTATAATTGTAGTCCCAGGGAAGACACCAAACTTCATAAAAGCAAAGTAGAAGAGGCATGATATTACTTTTGATAATAGTAAGGTAGTCGGCAGATACTCAGTGATATGCTAACATCCTCTTATTGAATCAAGGGACATGGAAACAGCCGCTTCACCCAATAACAATGAGAATGATATTCCTGAAGGTTATGAGATGCTTGTTCACAGGTAAAACAAGCGCCTGCTTTTTTTCTTCAGGTTATGACGTATATAACCTATAACTTTAGACTCAGGGAAGACACCAAACTTCATGAAAGCAAAGTAGAAGAGGCATGATATTACTTTTGATAATAGTAAGGTAGTCGGCAGATGCTAGGTGACATGATAGCATCCTGTTATTGAATCAAGGGTACTGTTCAGATGATTTGAAAGACATGGTGCCTAGGAGTCAAGTTTATTTACACGAGGGCTGAGAGAGAGAAGAGAGAGAGTTGGATTTTTGGTGTTCCTTGTTATATGTACCACAGTACAATGGATTTTATATGCGTTCTATGAAATTAAGCATGTATATGACTGTTCAATTCCTAACAATATTAACAACATGGTGTTCTACTTTATCATAAGTTAATCACAATAGCAGCTGTTTGTTTCACAGCTATATATGATCATAGTAACAAAACTCACGATTGTTTGTTAATATTGTTAAGAATTGAACAGTCATATATGTAATTCAAGAGGCGTAAAAATATATATACGAAAAATTAGGATAAGAGATAATGTAACTCTCGAGTGTTTCATTGCTAGTAATGAATTGCATATCCAAACTCATACTCTATATATACAAAACCATTATAATGAAACACCAATCCTCTCTAATCCAATTATCCATCTTTGAGCTCATTCAAGGCAAGACGCATATTAGATGCGTTGGAATGTGTCAGGATAGTAGTTTGTATATGTCGTTGGCTCGTTGCATATGCATTTAAGATGCCAATATGAAGACCACGTCTGTCATCGATGCAAAATAGCATGTGTGTAATAAAACATCAACCAAGCTCTTATTATTTGCTTATATGAAGGTAAAACACAAAAAATGTGTCCACTAAAAACACACATCATGAACCTTCATCCTTATTTCTACATCTTCAAAGGTGCGTGATATATGATGGATAGATAATGTGTTAGAATGCATCTGTAATCTGTAATGTATTTAATACACATTCAACAAGACTGAATGAACTATCAAAATATGGGAACAACATCTAGTTGAAAGAAAGGGCCTCCAACAGATCAATAAAGAACCGCTATCAAAACAAAGGATGACAGACTACATTTTGTGTCTAAATAAATACAAATGGAGACATTTGTAAGTTCCTAATAACAAATGCATATACATGAATGTCATACACGAGTGCCTTATTGAACTAAGGGGATACTTGGCAATTCAAAACATAAATCTAAATTGAGGTTATGAAAAATGTGAAAGTGAAGCTTTAGAAACAACGAGGGGGGGAAAATTGTGAACGTGACACTTCAGGCTCAGGCCTTCAGAAAAAAAATGTTTCTCATAACTTAAAAATGATCATTTTCACACTTTCACTGCCATTTCGATTTACCAAGCATCCGCTAGATGAAAAATGAGAACACTACTGATTTCGCATACATGCTCCTCGCACCTCAGATTAAAAGACCTAAAGAGATTTCTACTCGTTCATATTTTATTCTCCAAATAAACAGCTAAAAGGAAACTGCAACATGGTAGTTACAGGATATATTTCGTGAGCTGCTGTAATGACAACTAAAAATAAGTAGCATTTTGATGTAAATTTGTTTTAATTCAAAGTTGAGGTTGAAAGCGAGACATTGACGAACAATAGTTGAAGTGAAAAAGCATGTAAATTACATAGTACAACACATCGAACTAAATTCTAACTAATAAACGACGAGGAAATAAACGGCATCAAAAACTGAAATGAAAGAATAAATTCGCCAAAGCAGTTACCTTGAAGTGGACTCTCAAGTCCCGACCCATGGCCTTTGACGCTGCAAAACAAATTAAAACCAAATTTTTTTTTCTAAAAAATCGACTAATAAAAAAAACCATGAAGAAAACTAATTCAATGTCTTAGATCTGCGTGTATAAATAAATAAAATGAGGGGGGGAAATGTGAAATCAAAGGATTGGACTTACACTTAGTAGGGTTATTGGGTTCTCTCGAATACTTCACCTAGACATCGAATCAAACAAGAACAAATCGAAAAAAATTACAATGATAAACATTATCGTCATCACAATAATAATTCAAAGGAAAAAAATTTACCATGATCGCGGCGGAGAATTGATGAAGAGGAGTGCAAGGGCTGAAGAGAGCGGCCACCGGCAAGAAATGAGGTTTTTATAGTTAAACCCTAGTTAAGATGGGCCGGATATTTGATAGGTATAATTTCAGCTACCTGGCCCTTTATAGCCATACGATCAGTCTTTACAGCCCATTGAGGCCCAGAAATGGAAATTAATTGATGGGATGGAGTTTTTTTTTACAGCCACTTAAGGCCGGGATAACGAAGAAAGGTGGTAGTATCATCCGCCGGGCCATTAACGCCTAGAAACGTGAATAATGTGAGTGTTTTTTTCCGTAGAGAAAGTGAGTCCAAAATATGGACTCAACTAAATTGTCTCATGGATAATTTGATTATACATACAATCTCGACCCTCTGAAAAGTCTGAGAGAAAGGTACATTTGTATCTAGTTGTAAATTGAGCTAGGCGATTAGCACAGGTATTACCAGATCTCCGAATATGATGAACATATATAACCTCGAAATCTTTGAACATTTGCCAACAATCACCAACCAACTTAATCGGTGCTTGGGGGATATGCATAACACCATGAAGCATATGAACAAGGCATAAAGAATTGCATTCGACGTGAATTCTCCTCCAGCCATTTGATTTTGCAATTTGGAGAGCTTTGAGGATTGCCTTTGCTTCCCCAATAAGGGGCGGTATCGGAGGGCCAAACTCACCAAAAGATAAAAGGTTTGGGTTAAAGAATGAGAATATCCTACTATTACACTAGTGGAGATTCGATCAACCTAGACGGCACATCCTAGGCGGACGAAATACCTCCTAGAATGGTTTATCATAGTCGGACTATAACCATCTAAGAAAAATTGTCTAGTATGCGTGTATCCTAGATGGATCTACCGTCTAAGAACATATTCTAGATGGTTCAAATTTTTTTTAAACTAGGGCCCACTATCCTAGGCGGCTAAGTCATCTAGGATGTTGGGGAAAAAATCAAGCGGGACTTTTTGGTGAAAGTTGAAAAGCGTCGTTGTTTTCTCTTTTCACCTGTTGTTTTCACTTTTCACCAGATATATTTTCACTTTTCATCATAGCTCTTTACTCGCTTGTCGAAGTCATCAGAGTCGTCGAAGTTCAGCGCTTGTCATCGAAGGTTGTCGTGGAAGTCGTCGAATTCATCGAAGTTCGTCGCTCGCTTGTCGTCGTCGAAGTCGTCAAAGTTTACAGTTGCTCATCGTCAAAGATTGTCGCCTTCACCGCTACCTTTCGCTCAGTCGATGTCGCCGGCGTCCTTAATCATCACTCTTAACTCTAAATGAGTAATCTTTAACCAAGATCTAACCCTAATCGACTGTATTGACTAATCCTTACCCGAAATCTAACCTTAAATGGACTAATCCTTACCTAAAATCTCAACCTAACATTAATTACCCCTAAAACTAACCTAAAATCAATAAACCTGGCCCTCACTATTTAATTAGCCAAATTACCTAATAACCCTAACCCTAAGTGGACTAATCCTTAACCAAGATCTAACCCTAATCAACACTACTACTGACTAATCCTTACCCAAAATCTAAACCTAACATTAATTACCTCTAAAACTAATTTAAAACCAGTAAACCTTGCACTAATTATTGTAATTAACCAAATTACCTAATAACCCCAACCCTAAACATTGCAAGATTAATTAATATATCTTGTTAACCTTAACTCTAAACACTAATTAATAAAACCTGACCCTATGCTAGCTCCAATAAACGTAATCTTAATTATGCTAGCCTTGGGCTAATTACACAAAGCCTACCCATAATTATTGAAACACTAATTACATATCTTTTTAATTCCATATTTAAACATTAATTCATGAAAACACTAATTACATAAACCTAACCCTAATTAATCCAATGAACCTCACCCTAATTAATCAAATAAACCCGACCCTAATTAGTCCAATAAACCTAACATTAATTATGTTAGGCTTAGACTAATTACCCTAATCCTATCTTTAATCATTGAAACACTAATTGCATATCTTTTTAATTCCAAATTTAAACATCAATACATAGGCCTAGCCCTAACCCTAGCTAAGTCTAACACTAATTACTTATATTATCTAATTAGGATAATAACTCTAATATGAGCCTAGCCCTAATCTATTGGGACACTAATTACTTTATCTTGTTAACCCAAAAATATGAAATATTAATTACTACCTGAAAGGCCTTGGAGGGGGGTGAATAGGGTTTATGGATAATGAATATGTAATTAAAAGATTTTCCAACAAACCACAAACAAATATGAAGTGCGATAACAATAAAAGAGAGTAGGGATTAGAAATAGTTAGCCAATTGATGACACGCGGTATGTTCACGAGGTTCGGTCCTCTGACCTACTCCCTGCCCCCCACTCTCGGGGAGAAATCTACTACCACACCCGGTTTGGAAGGCGAAACTTCTCTACACAATGATCTCCACTGAGATCTCACAACCACACAATAGATCTCCACGAGATCAAGCTATACAACAGTTACAAATGAAAGAAAAGCTCTCTCTTACAGCAGCCCTATGACAAGAGGAAGAGATTGCAAGTGAAGCTTGGGATGTGAGGTTTGAAAGTGTGAAAACAAATAAAAGTTGAAGCTCTTTTGAACAATAAAGACAAACTTAAGAGATTTTTCAATGTTTGTTTAGTTTCTGAAGTTAATGGGGTTGGTGGGTATTTATAAGAAGTGAAGATGACAGTCAAACCCCAAAAAATAGACAAAATCCCCCCAAAACCGAGATTTCTAAAACTATACAAAACTAGCCTTTGGAAGGCTTATCAGTCGACTGACGGGTTTCATCAGTCGACTGATGAGCTGACTGTTTCAGATAATTTCCAGCTCATCAGTCGACTGACTAGATAATCAGTCGACTGATGAGGTCATCAGTCGACTGGTTAATCGACCAAATAAGAAACAAAAACTTTCTAAGATTCTGATGGGTTTTATTAGTCGACTGATCTCAAGCATCAGTCGACTGATAACGATTTTTCGACCAGTATTGGTTTTTAAAAATGAGTTTTAAATATCTTTTAAAAAATAGTAAATAAATTCCAAAAAATATGAAACTTTGGAAATAGTTTATAAACATAATAACAAACTTGTTTGAAAAGGAATTTTGCAAATCGTATTCGTGAAAATCATTATTTTAGCAAAAATGTCAAAATACGAGTATTGAAAATGTGTAAGTGTGTTATCCTAAGAGCTTCAAATGTAATCAACAAACTACTTGTCTGCATTAAGTACAAGAGAGAAAATAAAATAGAAAATATCCCTCACATATAAGTACATGGCTTGAGTCTTGATATTCGCTTCTATGTTAATGAAGCTTCTCATGTATGTAGTGCTCTTTGAAAGCTTTACTTCATCATTTTGTCTCCACCTCCTTAGATATCGTCGTTGTAGTCCATATTCCATCCACTCCTCCATCAATGGTGCTAATGAATTGTAATCTATAATATAACTCAATAAATAATTATCACCAATAATGGTGTTTGTAAATCATCATCAAAACAAAAAGGCTAACAATCTCCCCTTTTTTGATGATGACAAACAATCATTATTCAAGAGTAAATAAAATTGATTATTTGGCTTATAGATAGTGTTGCCCTTCTTGTTTTGATGATGTTTAACAAACAATTTACCACTAATGTTGTTTGTCTAGTATTTGTGTTTTTTGTATTTATTGTAGACAAACAACGTTGTTGGAGGATGGATGGAATAGAGCTTCAACGATCATATCCAAAGGAGGTTAGCGGAATGTCGGGTTGAAGCCTATACAATTCAAGTTAAAGATCAAGTTCAAGCTTCATCCGCATGTGTACCATGTTGAGCTACAATGAAGATCAAGATCAAGCTTGGGTAAATTAGTTTTAGGTTTTATATTATGTGTGTTAGTACTTTAAGCTCAATCATATACACACATACACGCTTTGGTTTTGGTTTTGTATATATACAGTTATATATATACATATATGTTTTTAGTTTAATAGGTTTCGAGTTTATATATGAAACAAATAAATATAATTGGAAAATACTATTTTGTTTCACGTTTATGTGCCTATATATGATTTTGTCTTTAACAAGTTATATTTAATGAAATCATATTTAGTGTTTTGTATATATTGCATAGAATATGCAATTATATGAAAATATGGTATTTCTAGGTTATAGACTTCATAACAACATGTTATATCTTTTATCAAGTCTATACAATCATTTCATAAGGTTTCAAACGTCGGTCGACCGTCACGGTCGACCGAGAGCTTCCTTCGGTCGACCGCACCGGTCGACCGGATAAGTCAGCTTTTGTTCTTCTCGTTTTGACCTGGATAGCGGTCGACCGGACTTTTCCGTCGGTCGACCGAACTTCTCCATCGGTCGACCGACAGAATTTTCGGTCGACCGACAATAGATCCGTTAGACACTAACGGCTATTTTTCTGAGCTGTCTTCTGGGGACTTTTCTGTCTTTTTGCTTGGGGTTTTTGGCTGAGTTGTGAGAGGGTATAAATACCCCATTGCCTTCAACTCTCAAGCTAATCCAAGAGTGTTTTAAAAACAAGTTTAAGAAAGTTTTAATCAAGGATTTAAGTTTGTTTAGTGTTTGTTTAAAAAGCTTTTAAGCATTTACAAGAGTTTGGTTTGTGGAGCAAATTTCACAAGAGCAAGTAGAGATCATCCTTGGTGTTTGAGCATTCATTCTTCTCCCTCTCTCTTGTCATCTATAGAGAAGTTTCCTTAAACTCAATTCTAGCATTTTATAAGTTTGTTCTTAATTTCATAAGCTAGATTTCATATTGAGTTTATATTGTTTTATCTCTTTGTTCACACACAACCTATTGAGCTTATTGTATTTACATTCATAGTATAATTTGGGGTTGTGGGTTTGTGATTCCAACACTTAGTGGGTGTAGAGTGGGGTTGCAAGAGTGTTGATTGTAAAGTTTTCGGTTAGCTAGAAAACCGAGTGTGAGGTGTAAACGTTATTCGGGTGAACGTAGAAAACCCGGTTGTGATAGTGGAGATCTCCGCGAGGTGAGGAGCGGGGATGTAGGTCGTGGGGACCGAACCTCGTAAACA